ATTTGAAATGAACAAATCATTGATTTTTCAGAATTCTATCATGCGATCTCCAGCATCATTTCTATCCTCAAGGCCATATTTTCCAACTACTGATCCTTCCTCTTTGCTCATAGGGGAAAAGAAAAATGGTGCCAATTCTCAAACTCATGACAGGTAGCAATTATTCCAAAATGATTTTTTTTTAAGTCTAAATCCAGCTTTCCAACAAAGAAACAAAAAGAGTGTTCATTTACCCACCTAGCCAATATTTGTTGAGCAACTATTATGTAGCATTGACAAGATACCCCAAAAGAGAGCTAGTGGCTCACCCCCATAGAGTGTACATTCTAGCGATTGTACTCATTTTTAAACCAAAGCTTCCTCTTGAGATGAGTCTAGAAAACACTATGCGAAGTAATCAGAGTGCCTATACAGATGAAATGCCTTACACATGCTGGTGACGTTGCTCAGACCTGTCCCTATGGGCTGTGTTTCTTCTTCCCAGGAGAGAAGATGACCCTGAGCATCTCTGTCTTACTGTCCTTGACTGTGTTCCTCTTGGTGATCGTGGAGCTGATCCCGTCCACCTCTAGCGCTGTGCCCCTGATTGGGAAATACATGCTGTTCACCATGGTGTTCGTCATTGCTTCCATCATCATCACTGTGATCGTCATCAACACGCACCACCGTTCACCCAGCACCCATGTCATGCCTGAGTGGGTGCGGAAGGTGAGCGAGGAGTTTATCTTAGAAATGACTGAGTTACTGAGGTTTGGCGGGATAAGCTCATTTTCCTGCAAGGTCTGTCAATATTGCTTTAAAACCAGGGAATCAGAATTGGCCATTCTAGTCCCAGTGTTTGTTCAATGGTTAAAGTCTAAATCTTTAGACTTTCAGCTTTGACCTTTAATGAGAGCTCTGGGGAGGAAGGCTCAACCGGCTGGAACTTGACAGAGGTGTCTCCACACTGGGGTCCAAGGTCGTCGGCAGTGGGCAAAGTCAGTGGTCTCTTGGTGTTTCTCTCTGCCTTGTTTCTAGATGAATTTGTCACCAAACAAGGCCAGTGTGATGTCAAAGTCTTTTTTGTTATACTTTTCTCTAAAATTGGAGATTAGTCAAATGACACATCTGTTCTTCAAGATGAGTGAGGTTGCTTAGATTTATGTCTCAGAACTAGTTTTCAAGATCAACTGTCTTCTTTTATCACAACATGTCAACATAAAGCTTGTTTACCATGTTCTTCAAGTACTTTTAGGTCTAAGTTCAGAACATTTCTAAATAATTTTCTTATAACCTACAGGTTTTTAACAACCTACAGTTAATGTAGGAACTTCTAAGTTTATACTGTGACTGCGTCTCTTATGTATCTTGAAAGCATTATGGTGAATTACGAGATTTGAACTCATTATAGAAACATATAAAACAATATAGGCAGAAGGCTCCCTTTCATGTAACCAATGGAAATCTAGCTAACGCTGTGGATATTAGGAACTGAAAGTCCTTTCTGGCCTATGGTAGGAACTTCCTTTGGCATCTTTTTAGGAATGAATAATTCATGGATTATAACCTTCTCTGGGAGGGAAGAAAAACAGAACTAACAAATCCCACTCCAAGGCTGAAAGAATCTCTTTGATTAGAGAAGATTAATAAATCTACTGTCTTTTAATATGTCATGACATTCTTGAATTTTTGGTGTGTATATCTTCTGCTTTATGAATGGCCTGCTTTATATATATATATATATATATATATATATATATATATATATATATATATATATATTTTTGTTTTACTAGTAGAATCATACGTCAAGAACTGGAAAATGTGTTAGGGATGAGGGTAGGTGGGGGTCTGATAAGAGATTGTCCAAACTGAGCTTAGTGAGGAACTTGGTCTCAATGTTTACATAATTGAATTTTTATGTGTACTAGCACACAGTATCACACCATATAAAACTTAAAGGGCACTTTAAAGTACAGGGTCTTTTGTGCAGAATGCAAAGGATTTGTCCAGAACTGAGAACGACTGCTGCGATGTACTCCTTTTGGAGGAATTAATAGCCTCGCTTCTGTAAAGCCAGCTAGGCAGCTGTAGGGCAGTATCTGTGTTGCTGTTTCTTCAGAAACAAGAAAAGGAAGAAAACAGTGCAGCAGTTTTATGAAGCCAGAAGCCTATGTATTTTGGGAGAGAGAGGCCTCTCGTTAACCGCGTGGCTTTGAGAATGCATTGCAGCGGCCCTTCCTAGGCCTTGGAAGAAGCCCGTGCCTGTTGTGGCTCCTGATGCTTGAGCTTCATCCATTTCTGAGCACACCGGCTCCCTCCTGTGGCAAAAGCCTCACATTACAGGATCATTGCTGTGCACCATGTTGTTAAGTGCGGAAGAGTCGCTTCCACACATGTTGTTGTTGTTATGTTCCGTGGAGTTGATTGCGACTCATAGCCACCCTACAAAGGGTTTCCGAGTCTGTAAATCTTTACGGGAGCAGAAAGCCTTATCTTTCTCCCCTGAAACATCTGGTAGTTTCGAACTGCTGACCGTGAGTTTAGCAGCCTGATTTGTAACACTTCGCTACCAGCGTCCCTTTCTTTTAAAGACAAGGAGGCTAGGATCCAGAGAAGCTGAATGACTTCTCCAAGGTTGTATCAACAATTCAAAACCAGAATTTGATGCTTACCCCCTGGGCAATAATAATTCTCATACATGGATTTCTTTTTTATGTTAGGTGTTTATCGAAACGATTCCAAATATCATGTTTTTCTCCACAATGAAAAGGCCATCCCGAGAAAAACAAGACCGAAAGATTTTTACGGAAGACATCGATATTTCTGACATTTCTGGGAAGCCTGGGCCTCCGCCCGTGGGCTTCCATTCTCCCCTGATCAAACACCCGGAAGTGAAGAGCGCCATTGAAGGCGTCAAGTACATCGCGGAGACCATGAAGTCCGACCAGGAGTCCAATAACGTAAGCCTCAGACTACAGTCCGTATCTCCGGGTTTAAACTACCGACTGCACAGGTGCAGACAGATGGGTCTGGCTTGATGGGCAGGCTGACATCCAAAAGTCAGCTGCTAACCTAAGATGTACCTTGAGTACCTCTAGACCACTCTAGGAAGTCATCTATTAAAAAAAAATAAGGATCATGATGGAGGGCAAATAGTTAACACACTTGGCTGACAACTGCAGTATTGGCAGTCCGCGTGGAAAGAAAGACCAGCGGTCAATCCATAGAAATGTTGACAACGTATGGGAGAACCCTATGGAGCACAGTTCAACTCCGACACACAAGGGGTCGCCAGGAGTGAGAACACAATAAATAGCATATGGTTTTAATGCCAGGCAGTGGTTGTTCAGGACACTGAAATGAACAATAGAAAGGCCCTATCTTAGTTATTGAATGTTGCTTTAACAATACCACAAGTGTTGGTTTTAACAACCAGAAACGCATTCTGTCGCAGTTTCGAAGTCTAGAAGTCCAAAATCAGAGTGGCAGCTCTAGGAAAAGACTTTCTCTTTATTCTCTTTGTCGGCTCTTGAAAGGTCCTTTCCTTTCAGCATCTGTAAGCCCAGTATGCCTCTCTATGATGCGGCATCAAGCTTTCCCTGGATTTAGAAGCTTCACAGTGCAGGGCCCTCAGGTCCAAAGGACACATTCCACTACTGGCTCTTCTATCTTCATGGCAGTAAGCCCCTCTTCTCTGCCCTTTGATCTCTTATAAGATCAAAAGTGTTGCAGGACACACCCCTAAGGAAACTTCCTTTCATTTGATTGGCTGTTCATAGCAGATCTCAGCATAGAGGTCATTATATTATATTCGATCTCATCACAGGGGATTGCTATGTCTTAATTGCCAAACCACTAAGAATCCTGGTCCAGTCATATTGACACAAAATCTGAACTATCCAGGCTCATAGCTGACGCACAGTGTGAACAGTAGGAGACAAATAGACACCTTCAAGAAACTCTGTCTAACGGCTTCTTCTCTCCCAGGCGGCCGAGGAATGGAAGTACGTTGCAATGGTGATGGACCACATCCTCCTTGGGGTCTTCATGCTGGTCTGTATCATTGGAACCCTGGCTGTGTTTGCAGGTCGGCTTATTGAATTAAATCAGCAAGGATGAGCAGAAAGCTGAGCTAGGCACTCGGCCCTATGACAAGCCGGAGCAGGAGAAAGGAGGGAAAGAGAAAAGTGTCTACTTTGAGATGCTCTCATTTATTCACCATTTGATTTTCTGTGTTTATTGCTAAAGATACTGATTTTTGTTTACATAGGTGATGACCTCAAGACAGTTTCCTATTGCTTCTCCCTTTTTATCCTGTGTGCCTACCTGGAATGAGTCCTTTTCAGTTAGTGAAACTGTTGATTTCCTATGGTATCTGAAAGGTTTCTGCCCAGGATGATAACTTAGGTTTGTTGTATAACCTTTGCTAGTTCCGTACCTAATAGGAAAGCCCCACCTACCAAATAGGTCAAACAGTTGGTTTAGAGAGAGCAGAAGCAGTAGAAAGGAAACAGTAAATTCCAGAATGACAGTCAAAATGCAAATGGCATCAAAAACTTGTGTTTTCAAGTACAATTCTGGAAGTAGGAAGCGAGGGAAGGGTTTCTCAGTCTAAATAGTGTACCTAGGTTTGATGTCCATGGTTTGCCTAAACTAGGAAGTAGAAGAACTGAGATCTAGAAGCTTGAGATTCCAAGTAGGTGTGGGCAGCGCGAGTGTCTCTGCCCACCATGGCTTGAGCTGGGCTAGTCTGCAGGTCTGCTCTGTGTTTTCTAGAACTTCTGTCTTAATGTTAAACATCTTTTTCCTTCCTAGTAAAGCGTTGCATTTATGTTCTTTGCCTAGGCTTTACCCCAATCACATGTGAGGTTGTAGTACTGTAATGAAGCCCAGAAATGTCTGCACATCTCATCACCATGACTAAACTTCTAGAAAAGCGAGTAGGAAAAATGGCTTATTTTCTACATAGTAGCCAGCAAGCCATTCCCACAATGCAGTTCACACCAGAACTAGATTCAGTGCCAGCCTCAGTAATGGATGCATCTGACCCACGTCAGTACTGGTGGGAAGCAGTGGAACCTCACTGTAGGCAACCTTTCTGGCCCAGTGGGATTGCCCATTATACACCATGGCAGGGCTAAGGGGCTTCATTCAAAGTACAGGCAGTCCCCGGGTTACACACACTGTTCTTAAGCATGTCTTTAAGTTGAATTTGTAGGTAAATCAGAACAGGTGCCTATGGCTCTTATTAGGCCTTATTTTATTGCAAGGAAGGAAAACTGATGGCACTGTAAGATAAGCACTAGACTTCTGACTTTAGGGTTGGTGCTTCAAACCTACCAGCTGCTCCTTGGGAGAAAGACGAGGCTTTCTGCTTCTGTAAAGAGTTACAGTCTCTGAAATATTATGTAGGGTTGCTGAGAGCTGGAACTGACTCAATGGCAGTAGTTTTGGGTTTTCGTGCAAGACAAGACTCACAGCCTTTTCAATGATTTAAAAGTTGCACGTTCAGCAAATAAAGGTGATTGTGATGATGAATTTGTTGTGAGTGGTGTTGGTTCAATCATTTCAAAGGGAGGGCAAATTTCTGTAATATTAAAGTTGCCCATAAGATGGGTGTAATCCAGTGACTGACTACACTAACGGCCCAGTACCTCAATTTCCTGCTTGCCTAATCCACTATCTTCTCCCAAAACTGACTATGCACTCAGAGAAGGGATGTAAATGTCACTTCGCTCATTCCTATTTGGTGAATTAGGAAAGTGAGGCTCAGAAAGTGGTCTACCCTCAAGTCAAAGGGCAAGTTAGTGACAAACCATGTCTCCTAACTCCTGCTTTTGTGCTATATCCATTCCCTCAAACAACCCATTTCTCCCCCAAAAGTGAAGCCTTCTGTGTACATTTCTTAAAACTGCCTTAACAAAATGTCACCAGTTGGGTGGCTTATAAGACAAGAGTTTGTTGTTGCATTGGGAGTCCGTAACCAGCGGGGCTGGGATCTCTCTCAATTCCACGAGCAGATCCTGCCTTATATCTTCCAGGTTCTGCTAAGCCCAGACATCTCTTAGTGTCCCTTGGCTTGTGGATGTGTCATTACGTGGCTGCCTCCTCCCTGTGAGTCTCTCTGTATCTGTCCCCTCATTCACAAGGACAGCATTCAGCTGGGATTAGGAGCCACTTGCTTCATGTTACTTTCACTGATAATATCCTCAAAGATCCCCCAAAAAGATCACTTTCATAGGTACTAGGGGTTCAAATTTCAGCATATCTATTTTGGGGTATAATTCAATCCATAATGTGTCCCTTATCCAGCCTCTGGTTCTGGAAGTTAGCAAGACTGCTCCCAAGTAGAGACAGTAATGTTACTACTATATATAGTAGTAATCTATTTATAGATCCATCAGCTCTAAGTATCTGTTTCACCAGTCTGTCACCAAGCCAAAGATTTTTATCTTTGTAATCTCTTTCCTTCATTGAAGCATAGTTTCCAGAAAGTCACTGGTGAAATGAGAGGGGAGAAGAGGGTACTGGGACCATCTCCTCAAGTTTGGGGTATTTGTTGAGGGCCCAGCCCAGGAAGAACCTCGTGGCTTCACAGATGCATTTGTCCTGACAACAGGAGGACTTGTTGAGGACTAAGGGACATCCTGAAACACAGGACAGGGACATTTGGGTGTAGCGGGGATTACAGACTGAAAAGGGAAGCAGGAATTGTTCAGAACTGAAATCCTTAAGGCTTTTGTTGGATTCATGGATTCACTTAGCTGTGTTGATATGAATGTCTTCTCTTATGTACCAATGTTTGTTAATATTGTTGTTGTTGTAGTTACATGCTATTGAGTTGGTTCTGACTCATAGCCACCCTGTTTCCAAGGAGTGACTGGTGAGCTTGAACCCGTCGATCTTGTGGTTCAAACCAACCTTGCAGTTCAGCACATTAACCCACAGCACCACACCAGGACTCCTCGTTAATTACCAGGTTTTTCAACCTGAGAACATGCAGAATTCTAGGATAAGCAGTTCTGTACTCCTTACACATCTCTGAAGATGTCTGCTTCCGCTATACTGACCTCTCTGTTAAAAAACGTTATCCATCTGCAAGCTTCCAGGAAACTTCCCAAGTCGAGTCACCCTCGACATAGTCTGCCCTCCGCTTCCTCACCACATATTTTGGGCCTAGTGAGTGTTTGTGGTATCTGGTTTGCTTGATATTTTCTGGATATTAAGTCTTTCCTCAACAAGACTATCTGCTCCCTGAATAGGGCAGGTTGGTAGAACTAACAGCTGCCTTCCAGCTACCTCTTACTTCCTGTGGGACAGGGACAAGTTATTTAACCTTCTGTGTTGAGACTCAGAAACATGTGGCTAGCACCATTTCCCCCAGTGTGCTGGGAGACTCTGCAGGTACTCTTTAAGTGATACCCCAGGGCATCACTTTTTTACACCCCACAGAGTCCAGGGGAGGGTTGAGGACACGCCCATCTCTTCTTCTGCATGGTATTAAGGCCCTCCCTCTGCTTCTTTCTCAGTACTGCTGTCTCTTCCAAGATTAAAATGGTGGCTCCAGTAAGGATGTCACTTGAACAAGGTGGTGACTTGAATGGCATCTTCTGGTAAGGAGGAGACTCAAGCTACACCCCATTCTAATCCCGCCTCTCTAATACCATGAACAACTTGTTCCCAAGGGGACTGTAGCCACAGCGTGTTGTTGTTGTTGTTGCTGTGTGTCTCCGAGTCACAAGCACTGAGACAAGGATTTACAACAAAGCACCAAATGGAGGGTACTTGCATAAGATTATAAAAGCCAACCACATAGTACCAGGAATCATGGCCTAGCCAAGTCAACACATATTTTGTTGTTGTTGCTAAGTGTTGTTAAGTGCTCTTGAGTCAGTTCTGACTCATGGCAACCCTGGATAGGGTTTCCAAGGCGCAGCTGGGTTTGAACCACCTACCTTGAGATTAGCAGTCAAGTGCTTTTTTCATAGCACCACACTAGTACTCCCCTTAAGTATTTGTTGTTGTTGTTAAGTGCCGTAGAGTTGGTTCCGACCCATAGTGACCCTGCACAGGATTTCTTTTTCTTCAACCTTAATTTATCAGTTCCACTGGACTACAGTTGTTTTTTTTCCCTAAATACAAAGGGGCTTTAAAAAGTTTGTGAAAAAATGGAATTTAAAGATAATAGAATCTTTTCACAAACTTTTTTAGCAAACAATTGGCTGGTCCCAGGGTCAGAAAGTGAACAGTGTACAAGGCAACAATACAAGGTAGAGTACAAACTTAGGCATTCAGAGTCTGTCTGCCCACTGGTGAAGGCAAAAAACTATGAGTTTTTCCTTCCCTTCCACTCACCCATGCCCTCTGTCCTGCCCTGCCAAAATCATATATAATGAAGTAATTCTAGGAAAGCCAAGGGGATTGTTTTCTTTATGAAATACTGATTTCTTAACAGAGGTTGAACTTGGCTATAAATTAGGCAAATGTTCTTTCCCTTTGATCTCTTTATTTTATTCTCAGATGGCTGAAAACACACCAGTCTCCCATTTGCTTTAGTAATGCTGCCTCCCACATTTAAATTATGTGCTGTATGTCATTTATAGGAGGGTTGTTTTTAGATGATAACAATATACACTTCATTGGATCGAAGTTCTGTCTCTGAAGAATAGCTTGCAGATTCAATTTTGGGAATTCAATTTTCTAAAGTGTACGGTACTAGGGATCCGGAATGGGGGAAATTCTGTAGAGAGCCCTACAGGAAAGCAGGAAGTCCTTTCAAATCATATAATGACTTGCTAATCACCACCCTGCTCCCCAGCTCTGATTACTATATCAGATGTAGTTGTTTCACAGCATGTCTGAATGGTACCTGGTTCATGTCACCTTTCTGAAGCTTTTTGTGAAAGAAATGGTATGTCCTAGGTAGCGTAGTGGTTACGAATTGGGCTGCGAACCTTAAGGTCAGTGGTTCGAAACTACCAACCGCTCCGCGGGAGAAAGATGAGACTTTCTACTCCCGTAAAGATTTACACCCTTGGAAACCCTGTACAGGGTCGCTATGGGTCGGAACTGACTCAACGGCACTTAACAACAACAAGTTTGGAAAGCTAGATTCAGTT